ATTACATAACAGACAAAGTTATAGTTTAAAATTGGCTTGAAGTACCACGATTTCGCTAATTATTTTACTTTCATTATTTGCATGCGTTAAGTGTGATGTAGATTCTACGAAGGGCCACGAAGGAAGCCCAGCTGTAACATTTCAAAAGTTCTAGCTTTGCATTGACATTGCATTGGAATGTTTTTATATTTGATTCTAAGTTGCTGCTAATTCTCTTTCCCACAATTACAGCTACTAGAACCCAAAGTAGAAAATTAATCAACTATATTTGTTTGCTGGTCATTAAAAAATGTAATTCATCAATAGTGGTGATCTAAGGATTTTCTTGTTTCCTTTATTTAGACTATAAGATGGTAACTTTTAATTTTTATCTGTATTTTATGTTCTTTATAGATTTCTATAAAAATAAAAAAAGTTTATTATTTCTGTCAACTTCTTATCATCATTATCTGATAATGTCTGTGGCTGGAGTAGGGACACTCATAGGGATCATTTTATGTGGAAAAGAAGAGTCATGAGTCTAATGAAATCTGGCTCCGATGGCCTGCGTATGACCTCTTAAGAGCAGTTCACAGCAAAATGACCACAACATGTACACCGAACCTAAATTTGATGACAGGCTGATGAGATGAAAATGGTACTTCTGTCTAATTATAAGACTTATCCAATTCAGGAAGATAGATTACCCAGAGAGGAGCCAACGCCAGTCACTTGTTGGATTTGAACCCAGGACAGTACCAATCACTGTAGCATCAGTGAATTTAATCTGACCACCAGTATTTCCCAGCTTGCTTGAAAGACAAAGCCAGTACAGTTAGACACGGAAAAAAATGAAGTTCTCTTTTGAGACCACGTGTGAATCTGTAAATAAGACATGAAGAAGTGAAAAGCTAAGGGTATTAGCTGTCTCCAATCAAGCTGAAAATTCCACAGTCTCCCACACACACTTGTATCTAGAGACTCTTCCAGGTTGTGAATCAAAACCCCAGGAATAAGTAGGATGTTGGCTTGATTTCCTGGCAGTTATAAACCGTGTGGACAAGAACCATAAAAATATGTTCATGAAGACATTTTTTATTTATTTTATTTTTATTTATTTTTTAATTGTGCAGTAAGACCTTAAACTAAGTTTTATACTTGGGTCTTGGTTGTCTATGTTGACCACAAAAGAATGCAATCTCTTTTTTCTTCCTTACCTCTGTGGTATAGGGTTTAGGGGTTGCTTTTTTTTTTTTTAGAGCTTTATCTCTTCCCTGTTGCCAGTGTTCAAACTGAGAATAAGTGAACAAAAGAGGGCTTTTGAAGGAGTTCAGACTGCTCTCCACTGACTGTGTTCTTTGTTGACCAAATATCAGAATAATCTTGAGGCATCAAAAAAGAAATCTCAGAAATTCACAAAGAATCACAGTGAATAGATTAAATTGAAAAGATTTTGATAGCAAATCTATAAAAGTGGCTGCATTATCATTCCATGGTTCAGAGAGAGACAAAGAGGAGTTGCACTTAGACTGTGTGAGTTGAGATTTAGGCATTTGTGATTGTGGGGCTATTTGTTTGAACACTTTGTTGAATAAGCGTAGGAAAATGAATTTATATTAAGTACAGCAACATAAATCGCAACAAATAAAGCATAAAAAATATATGTGGTGTATTAATGCATGATTCTGTTTTATTTCAAGCCGGCATATTTCCCCCAAAAGGTGCAGCTCGTGCACATCCTAAATTTGTTGGAAGGATTCAGGGGAATTACTCGTGGAAAAAAAAATCCTGGGGAAGTCTGCACATGCCTCCCGTAGCTTTCCAAACAATCACAATTTTTACATGAATCGTTTTAAATGCTTTGCTCTGACTGCAGCTACAAATAAGCACAGTGGGTAGCTGCCTAGAATGGTCATTTTGGCTAACTGCATAGGGATCTACATCTGGGTCACCTCACCTGCTGGCTGACTTCAGTGGTTATTTTGACGGCAGTTATGTTCGAAATCAAACGGTGTGACTGCTCAAACCGCAGAACAGCTGATCAGTGATTTTACCATCATCACACCCCCCAGAAGTTACACATTAAATGACGACTGATTTGGAGAAAAATTGGGCCAGCTCTAAAATTTATTTGGGGCTAAAAGTCTGTATGGTATCCTTGCAAGGTTTCTGTGACTAAAATGCACATTTTCTGTTAAATCAAATGTGTTTCAATACATTACAGCTCAAGGAATTTGATTAACTATAAATATTTTGTGTGCTTCAGTGCTTTAAGGTGAATTAAAACCACTAGAATATGTAATACAGGAGGAATAAATACGGGACTTTGTGTTATTACTCATTGAGAACCTGATTAAAATATCAATCCGTGACATTTCCTTTATTTAATAAAGTCGTAATGGAAGTCTGGGCTTCCTAAGTGGCAGGGGCTTCTCAGATATCATTACTAAAAGCCTGGGAAACACGTGTGCGTGTGATATGTTGTGAGTATTCGTATGAGAATGTGTGCGCATATGTGAGAGAGACTTTGGGTGTCTTAGATGTTTTTCACAGTTCATCTGTCTTGACATCTGGCCAAACAGCTGGACTCATCTGGACAAACACTCACAGACAGTCCACGCTTTTCCAAGTGCTTCTCCTCTCAGACTTCCTTACACTTTTCCTCTCCTTCTTACTCACCCTTGATTTGTTTGTCTCCCATGTGCACAATATGGTACATTTATATTTATCTATTTTCCATTGTGTATACATGCACACGTTCTTTAACTCATTTTCTTAAACTTTAATTGTAATGTCTAGTGTAACATAGTATATGTATGTGTTTATCTGTGCATGATTTCCAGAAAGGAAATGTGAACCATATGTAGGCCATGTTCAGCATTCCAGGACTTCAACAAGCTTGCCATTCATAGTGAACACTCTGTGATCTCTTAGGGACAGCTGATACTGGCCAATGTTCCATCCTTGTACTGCAACATGTAAAATGCAGCTTTTGATATCTTGAATGGAAGTTCTGGTTAAACATTGAACAGTTATAAATCTTGGTTGGTTTTTACATTTTAGCTTTACATGCATAGCAAAATAGTAATTTTGATTTTTTTTAAGAATTGAATTAATGTCTTTTTTTTTGTTTAAAAACTGAGCATAGTGTTATTTCAGGCAGACTATCAGCGGCTCAGCTGATCTCAGTGCCAGCCCACATCAACTGAGGGTTTGGCTGATGTCCTTTTTTGCATCCAACTGTCAAGTCTAATATAGGGTGTGTTATTTAAACTGCCCACAGTTGCTGTGCCTCTGCAAGCCACTTCGCAACTCACTCCAATCCCAGGTCCTCTGTTCAAGCTTTATCTGACTTATCCGTGTCATAGTTGTTTCTGTAGGAGGTCTCTGCTATATTGGTATCCCTCAAAAGCAAGTCATTATATCTCAAAGAAAATTCCAGTAATTTTATGTCAATAGGGAGAGATCACTTGGAAGACTTGAACATGATTTATTGAGATTGAGAAATTAATGTATTTGGTAATTAGACATCATGGCAAAACAGACTTCCAGTGGTGATAGCGACTAATATTCAACGGTATGTTTTTGGTAAAACACATTTGCCATTTCCAACAGTTTTGGTGCACAGTATTGTTCTTTGTTGGAGATTCCCAAAGTGAACTGTCACCGAAGGTTGACAGTACTCTGGCTTCCTGGCTCCATGACATATATGGTCTTGTCTCATTGTATCCACTAGGGAACTTAAATGCATCAGGATGGATTTTCATCAATCCGCTCATATGATATTTTACGTCATTTAAACATTTATCGATTAAATATGTAGATTATTTGAAAACTAACTGAATGATAATAGGTCTTAGGGATGAACAGAGTGGTGTCAGCCTTACATGGATAGATGGAAAAATGTGCTGAATGTGAATAAATATGCTCTATTGGGGAATAAATTGTGGCAGTGAGTGGTATATCATAGTTTGGTCTTCACATTTATCCTTGATATCTGGCTTGTTGCATTTTCTTTCTGCATAAAACATCCAAGTTTCCTGAATGTCCTTCCTGCTTGAATGAACCTGGTCTCACAAGATTACCATAACAATAAGGTTGAAAACAAAGTCCTGTTAGCACAGTATAACTTTATTAATGGATTCCAAGAATATCCTGGAAAAAAATTTGGAGGATTTTCCATAATGTATGTCCTCTCCTAGTTTACATTCTGTGGCCCCAGCAGTGAAAAATGTCCATGGTCAAAAAATGAAAGTTGCTTGAACAACATAATGCAAATGAACAGTTTTGATACAAAAGTACAAAATTGCTCAAAGTCTGCACAGTGGAAAGCGTGCCCGAAAATATTCTGTCCATGCTTCTTTTATCAAAAGATAAAGTGATTACAGCCATTTCTATCTGTTAATGTTAAATGATGTTAACTGCTTTTGACTGCACTGAAAATACACCCAAATTAAATAGCTCGGATGATGCGAAACCCTTGCCCTCCCCCTCATGTTCCAGGCTAATTACTCATAACCTCAGTACAACAGAAATACAGGCATCATTTTGATTTGAAATACAAAACCTAAATGCAAATCAGGATGTGCTGTTCCTAACAACCCCCCACGGTAGCATTTGGCAATTACCCACCTTTTGACTAAGAAATCCAGCCTGGCCTCATTTGAAGTGCTCTGAACGGACTTTGATGTGTGATTAACGAAGATCTGAATGCATAATAACATAGAACTTGCTTCGAAGTTATCATGTACTGTGTTCTTTTCTTTTTCTTTCTTTTTTTTAGATATGTTAAAAACGAGTAAACTAACTTTTGAAATATTGTAATTTTTTTTATTGGATAGTTGATGTAGGTTTGCTTTTTATTTCACTTTTTTTTATTTGTACTAAGATTTAAAAAAAAGTAGAAGGTATATGCAGGCATCAGTACTAATGCATAAAGCTCTTTAACTTTCAAAAGTTGCATCTGTATGCAATTATCCAATTACCCATGTCTGTTTTCTTTCTTTTTTTTTCTTCCCCAGGTCTGTTTCCAGCTGTGTTGAATCTAGCGACTATGGCTAATATAACAACCAATGCTACCTGTGGTTCAACTGGTCCAGAAATGTTCTGCAAGCTTGTGGAACACGTTCCAGGACAGCCTGTTAGAAATGCACAGTGTCAAATCTGCAACCAAAGGAGTGCAAATCCCACGGGTAAGGAAGAGTCACATCCACATGAGACTTATAGTCTTGGTGATTACAACAATTAATCATTCTACATTAGTTAATTAGACTATGATTGGCCAGATGTTAACCAATCATTTTGTCTAAAACGATAATTATAGAACAAAACGAGGAATCAATTGCAACATGACAAGACGACAATACAAAATTAGCCTGCACTCATTATTCAAATAGTCTACCAGACTGTCATAATACAATGGATCAATAATTCAATTAACCGCTCAGCCAGTCAAATACCCAATCAGTTTGTCAGTGAAGCACTCCATCATTAACTAGTATCCAGTGATTAGTCAACAAACAGTTAGTCAGCCATCAGTCAGCCAGTTCATTGTTGGTGTTATTCATTAAATGGAGCCCAACCTTTTCTTTATTTTCTTATTGTATAGTCTTACATTGGCGCATATTCATATAGTGATGGGCCATGGTTTAAATAATAAGGTCAACGTGTATCCATAGTAGCCTAATGCTTAGTCTTTAACGTGCTCTCAACATGAGGTTTTAGAGCTTTGTCTTGTTTTTTTGTTATTTTGAACTTGTGGCTCTTTTTGTCCTTTTGAGCAGATATCTTTAATTACATTTTAAATATATAACATCAAATCACAACAGCAGTTTCCTCAGTGCACTTTATATTGTACGTTAGAGATGCTACAATACTACAAGGAGAACCAGGCTCAGCGGCTATCTGCCACGACACTCCTTAATATGTTCATTGACAGTGTGTTCAGTATGTTCAAAGAACAATTAGCTGTATTTTGGTAGGGTATGTAGATCACTTCTTGGCTGTGTAAAGTGAGTTAAGGGGGTCAACCATCAGGTTGCCCAACATTCACCAGTGACATTCACCAATGGCCCACTGCTTATAAAAGCACTAAAAGAGCAGTTGACAGTTGGTGGATGCAATTTTTGTGTAGAAAACAATATATTGTCTGCAAACACTCACCAACTGCTTGCCAAGTAGTAGTAAAACTGAAAATTGCAACTCAACATATTGGTTTTAGAGACTTGTAACAACTTTAGTTTGAAGGTCAACACTTGGCAAGGATTTACAGACAAGTCGGCATCTTTTTTGCAAACTACGGGTGATTACACCAACCTACTAGTAACCACAGAAATCACAAGGAGCTTTTTGGCGCAGGGCTCTCTTTGTGACTGATTTCAACAGAAAGCTCTAGCATCCACCAGCTGGTCTGGGAATATTTTTTTTTCTAGGGCGTAGCTTCAGTTTTAAAATAAAGTTTATGTCTTCATCTACGGGTAACTTTGTAAGAAAGTATTTACCCTAGGTCAGGGGTCAGCAACCTTTAAGACCCAAAGAGCCATTTGGACCCGGTTTCCACGCAAAAGAAAACACTGGGAGCCGCAAATACTTTTTGACATCGAAAATGAAGATAACACTGTATATATTGTTTTTTACCTTTATGCTTTGTGTGAACAACTAAGGTGTGTTGCTTATGAAATCCATGAAGTGCTACAGAGAAAGTTACATTTTATTTATGTAATTAACACATTTTGAACTCTTAAAGAAATATAACTTTTAAAAAATAATTGGAAAAAAAGCACTATGCTGCTGAAAAAAAATGAAAAATAGATATTTGCAAAATTCTGCCTAAATATGTATTTTACCAGGTTAAGGTGTGTGGTGGGGTGTGGTCTGCAGTGCCGCTGCAGGGGAGGCGGACGCACCTGAGTGGCACCCGCAATCATGCCTCGCCGCCTTAACGTCTGTGCTCTCTATGCTGTGGTTGGTGTGTCGGGCTGTGAGCTGAAAAGCTACAGACGGCTGTATGTGTACAGCAACCGTGTATGAAAAGTGGTCAATAAAGAGATGCTGAAAAGCATGTTCATGCAAACATCGTCGGGTCTGCCGTGATATGTTTACAATGGGACTTCTGCTCCTGAACCTCTGCGCATATACCATATGCGCACAGCGTCTGCAAATCAGGTCTGTACGAAGTCACTTTCATCTTTACGCAGGACTGTAAGCTGTCATCTGTGAGGTGTGAGCAGAGTTTGTTTTTAACATAGTTCACGGTGGAGAATAGCTGCTGACATAATGTGGATCCGAAGATCCATAATTGACCTACCTGGGGTTGAAAGTCTCGATAAATGCACGGCGTTTTGGCGGGTACACCGGCTTCCGCAAGTGTGCTGCTTATTTAGAGCGATGAAAAAATAATAAAATATAATTTTTTTTATATTTCAATATCACAATAATCCTCCAATTTAGAAGTACAAGTTAAAAAAAAAAACTAACAAATTAAATACACTTCAGCGAAATACTTCTAATTTATTTTCCCAAACCATGCCGAGCCGCAGTATAAGGACTAAAGAGCCGCATGCGGCTCCGGAGCCGCAGGTTGCCGACCCCTGCCCTAGGTGAATATTCATTTTCTATATCGTGGTTTTAGTGTTTTGTCCATTCTTTATTTGCTTTCTGTAAAATAATTTTCTTTACTGTGTTCTTCTAATGCCACACAGCAGGGTAGGAAAGAGCAAGATAAGTACAATATCTTTATTTAGTTATAGATCATTTCCATTACTTTTAACTGAAATGTCACAGGTAAGTACCCAGATGACTGACAGGTGCCAGGCAAGCTGAAAAAACATATCTGCTCTTAAAAACCTTCATTAACACACGTATAAGCACCCAAACAATTCTGCATTTGGTGCATAAATAAAATGCTTGATTGTGACCTTTGCTTTATAATAAATTATAGTGGTGATGCATTTTTATCTTCCTGCTCTATTAAAACTGTTCTATAGACTTGTAATAGTACCCAGAAGTAGACTGTGCAAATGCACTGACATTTTTTCTTTTTCAGAAGTGAAATCAAATAATACTAAATAGGAAGGAAATCTATTATTGGCCTTGAACGTCTCAAATGCCAGAGTGGAGAAAAATTGTAGAGTACTACATTTTCACTTTAGAACAATATAGAATGCAAGATGAAAATACCTGAGATATTTCAAATAAACTGTTTGTGTGTGTGCTTACAGAACATCATCCCATAGAATATGCCATAGATGGAACCAATCGTTGGTGGCAGAGTCCGTCGATAAAGAATGGAATGGAGTACCACTATGTGACGATCACACTGGACTTGAAACAGGTAGAAAACACACATTCATTATGAGTGAAATGCTGTTTGCGTACTTTCACTACATGCCTCTTTTCTGTTTTATTTATTTATTTGTATTGAACTGGGTTACTTGTCTTTATCAGCTTGCATCATCAAATTTAAGCATTAATTTTCTAAGGTACAAAGTCTTAGAATAACAAACGGGCAGCAGTTTCATTATTCGACAGATTTCTTTAGTGATGACACACGTGCATAATTTGCCAATATAGAAATAATGTCAGCCAGACACCAAAGAACACACACAAGCAAATGTACAACTTTTCCTCATTTTATACCTGATTGTCAGCACCTGGGGTACCAGAGACTAGGAGGTAGGAATCACAAGCCCTGATTTCTGTTTGCAGATACAGACGTAATAAAAGGTGGTTGGGCTCACCTCGAAGTCACTCGCTGGTTGGCAAATCCAAATCATGTTACAAAGCCTTGAGTGTTTTCACCATCACTTTATGTTTTGAAATCAGATGTGACAAGCGAGGAGTGGATGTGAGTGTGAAAATGCATGCTCGTTGGCTAAAGACTTGTCAGTCACAAGTTTTCATCAAATGAACATTTCCTGGATCCTTTCTGATCTGACATTTCAACTCAATCACTCAATTAGTCATTAATTGAGTACAAAAAGCCATCAGGAAGCCTGAGTTTGGGACTGTACCAGAGACTTGTGTAAGACCAGGAGGTACAGATATAGATATTTAAGAACTTCTATATCTGTGTTTGTTTTTAAATACTGTCTAGCTTTATATGTTGGAGAAGTGGAGGCAGGGTGGGATGCTTAAAGATGGCTGGTTTCAGATGCAGCATTAACTAAGGGGCTGCACAAGAGCTGGCATAAGCTTAAAATATTTTTTAACTGTGAATTATTCCTCCATTCTCTGTGAGGTTCACTCATGTCATTTTCATTCTTTAAGGTAAACAACCACATGCTTGTAATTGCAATTACTGCAAGTAAAATCGAAATCCTTATAAAATTAATAATTTACTAATTACTGCCCAACCTTTCATACTTAGCCCAAAACATGCAGCAATAAATACATTGCTGTGACCCAATAATTCAGCTTTGTGACAGGTTTGTGATATGATATCAAACCGCTTTTTTAAAAAAAACGAATAAAGGGCAAAATCCTCTTTATTAAGGGGTATTTAAATATTTACAGATATTTAAAAACTCTTACTAAAAGGAATATATTTCACTAGACATGCATACCTTTTTTTTTTTTTTTTCCGCTCAGTTTACTTTTAGTTTTAGAAGTAATATTTAGCTTTTCCTAAATTGATTTACAAGGAGATCCACAATCTCATCTTTCCGTTAGAATCAGTCGTACTCACACAAATGCCTATTTTAATGAGTCAAATTCTTTTCATTTGCTTTCTGTTTGTGCACATATGATTGGATTCACACCGAGCACAGATGCATTCAGCTGCCAGGTGCTTGATCCATCAAGCTCATCCCTTTTCCACCACTGTGTTCCTTTTTCATCAGGATGTTGCACGTACAAACACTGTCTTCCCAGAGCTACATTAACACCCTGTGCTGCATGCTGTCATGGTCAGCTTAGCTTGGATTTTATTTTCTGTGCAATTAAAGTGATTACTGCAGTTAGTCATTTAAAGGTGCGGTGTACAAAATGTGTCATTGATGTGTCATCAGGGTTTTAAGCTACACAGAACTGTTTCAGTAGAGCTGGAATTAGTTAAACCAACTTTGCGATTAATCACTTCATAATCTTGTGTGCCACTCTTTAAATATTGGCTTCCATTTTTGACTTGGAAAGCTTGGCAGGAATCTCTGTGATTGAGTGGCTGTGTACTGGCATGGGCTGATTTAGGACATTTAGTTTAGTTTAGAAGTGTGATTAAATAGATAAGACTGCCAGATTGTAATTATATAGATGTTATGAGAATAAAAGTAATTAGAATGGAAGATTTAGTTTATGAGAATCCATGGCTTCATTAAGAGAAGTCAGTCAAAAATTCGTCTAAAAGTTTTTTAAAAAAAGAGATTAATTTTAGATGTCTAATAAAAACACCAATATTCATGAAAAAGCTGAAAACTAACTCGGGTTAACAATTTCTGATTTTCTGATCACTATTTGACTTTATTAAGTATGTTTTTGATGTCGGCGAATCAAAATTCATACTATTATAGGGTTATGTAAAAAAAAAAATCCAGGTCTAGAAATTGTAACTTGCTCATCCCTTCTGGCTCCTGTTATAGTGGACTGGAAATATGTCTTTAAATTCATTTTAAACCCTCAGCCTTTTTACACATCTAATGCATCCTTTTCTCTTTCTAATCCATGTGATGCGTTCATGGTGCAGATGTAAAGTTGCGGTTGTGATTCTGTCCTAAATTGAAGAACAAAAATTAGAGTTAGTTAAAAGTTGCATACAAATACTTTAGTAGCCTCTACAGTTTAGTAGAGGCTGATTAAAGGTTAGTTCGGAGTTCTGAGGTGAAGTTTATAGTAATGTGCTAAGTTGGACTGATTCTGGACAGACTGTGGCATTCATGGTCAATGTTAGGTTATATTGAGGCCTTTTGTATGTAAGCTGATGATACTGATTAGATTCTGCATTATCTGCTGTCTAAGGATTGGGCTCAACCATGATACCTCATTTAACAGCTCCTGAAATTTAAATCCAGGTAACTAAATCCATAAAGAGAAGTAAACCTCTGCAGCAGTGCAGGTTAGCTTGTCAGAGCCTAAACACAAAGAAAATCTACCAAAAAAGTTATTACATGACTTATTTCTAACTAGTTCTTTAACCTCATGCCGCACTGCTCCACCTTATCTACAAAAGGCAACAAAAGTGTAAAATGGAGCAGCAGAACTGTGGAATAAAAATAAATAATTAAATAAACAAGATAAAGTGAAAAGACAGACACGGAGCAGAGAAATTATGAAAATGATGATGACTGAAAAAAAATCTGTTAATTTAATGGCAGTACATTGCTCCAAAAATAATTGGATCACACGTTTTTCAAATGGAATTTAAAGTTTTTTGTTATAATAAAAATAAAGTAATTTTTATATGGCAACGTCTTGCAGATAATGTTTGTTTCAGTCAAATATATCCGGAGTTAATAAAATGGACTTGGGTTATTCAAATCAGTTAATAGTCTGGTGGTGAGTGCTGTCTTGTGGCTCATTAAAATCAAACTGCTAACTAGCAGTGCTGTGCTCTGTTCATAGAGGATAATTGTCATAACACTAATAGAAATTGCAGTTGGTGGTAGTAGACTTCACTTTTACTTCACAGGTAAACTGGACCCGTTTGACTGACAAAACATAATCAATCATCAAAGAACCGAAAATACAGCAACTAGCTGTTTCCACAACAATAAAACCCTCTTAGTTGCCTTTTTTCAAATTTTAAGATTTCTATTCTAACATAATCCCACACGTTTAAGACAATGATGGATGAAAGTGGATGTAATTGAATAACCCTCACAGTTTAAAGTGCAGTTTGTTAAGCGAAATGACAACAAAAAAGTAGTGAAACAAACAAAAAGTAAGAGTTGAATACTAATGTCACATATGAATATTGTAGTATTTCTGGTCAGAGTCCTACTATTCATACTGAATTTAGAACCACAAAGACAACCGCAACCGCAAATGTGAAGAGTGCTTTTTCCTTTTCTTGCTTGCTCTTTTTTTCCTGCACCCAACACAAGTAGAACGTAATTACAGCCCTGCACAGGAAGAAGAGTAACAGCCATCTTGAAATAATAATGACTTTAGGCCCATCAATCACACCTTTCACCACTGTGGTGCGTCTACTGAATAAATATTAAGGCTTCAGTGGTCTCACAAATACACGCACGCACACACACCTGTCTCTGGAGTAGTACGGCCAGTGAATGCATCTGCCTGGTTACTCATACTCACTCACTCACTTACCCTGTCACTCTTGACCTTAATATTAGTGTGTGTAGCAGGTGACACCCACACACACCCAACACCACAGTCATTTTGATTCTTATTCATGTCTAAGAAGATAATAGAGATGTACAACGAAAGATTATAAGGACTGTATAAGAATTCCAGAATTTCAGGGTATTCCTCACAATTAAATATTCTTCATGTAATCACCACATTTAACATGTTTACATATTTCTCTGTATTTGCAGTATCCAGAGTTAATAATTTTAACATTAGGACTAGAAATGACTGAGAAAAACCTCTTAAAATAAAACCCCATTATCTCATATTTCACTAATTTACTAAAATTGGTTTATTTATGACGTAATTAATTATATAGCACTTTTCTACTCTCCTCGAGCACTCAAAACGCTTTATACAACATGCCTAATTCACCCATTCATACAAGCACTTTTTTATACTTTCTATCTAACATTCACACGCATTCATACTCCAATTGATGCATCAGAGAGCAACAATCCTTTATTAATCATTTCTAATATATATTTTACCTTTATAACCAGGGGTGTTAAATATGAGACCCAGGGGCTAGAATTGCCTTGGCAAAGACCTCAGATCGGCAGAATGGACAGTTTTGGAAAATAACATGGAGGGCATAAATAAACAAAGCAATTAAGTAATAGATAAACAATTAGATGGCAGTAAAAGTCCCGTTTTTTTGCAGTGGGTCTGTAAAAGACAATAGGAAATTTTCTTTGAATTAACTGAAACTTTCTCTTTTTCTTGTTCTGTAATTTTGCATATTTATTTGTTACAATTTAAATCATGCTGACACTTTTCTTTGAATTACTACAGCAGCATTTTTTTATAATGTAGAAAAATCAAGAAATACTGTTCAAGTTGCCCTTTTTTTCTTATGTTCAGACATACTAGGGGTTAAATCTGTAGTTAAAGTTCTTTATGTTGACAGAGAGGGGAGTTTCACTGGTCCGGGCCACTTGGGATAAAAGTGGGCTCCATGTGGCCCATCATGTAAAATGAGTTTGAAATCATTGATATAAATCAAACTTAACTTACTGAGGTGTAAGA